CGAAATTACTTTAAATTATGGAGAACGACCGAGGGAGAAAGAGATTGGGAAGTGTGGCACGTTTCTCGCTGGCCGGCTGCATCCCCGGCAGGAAGAGCAATTGGAGAGAAAAAAGAAACGTTAATGCTCTTTCCCTTTTATACTTGTTCTCTCATTTTAGTTTTTCTTCTCTCTTTCGCCTTTACTGCGAGATACTTTATCCCGCTACACTCTTCTGCTTCTCTGCTGTTTTCTTCTCTCCCTAAGGTTTCTCATTTCCGCGTTTGCGCCCCTTTCATTTTCATCACTCTTACATTTTTGACTCGATGGTTTTCCCTTTGCCTTTTCACACCCGAGCTGTGCTCCTCTATTTTTACGTGTTTCTTGTTTTTCTACTTTTTAAAGCTTTACTTCTTAACCATGCTTGTACTATTTTTTATCCTTTATTCTTGTTTATTGTTATTCTCATTCTATATTTCCATACCCGCGTTTTGTCTTCTTATTTTAATTTTTTTATTTTAATTTTTATTTATTATTACTAGAGCAAGATTTTGCTATAAACATATTTATTATTATTATATAGTTTTCTAAGAAAAATTAAAAATTAGAAGATATTAAAATCATAACGAATTGTTAATAGTTTTTTTTTGTATATATAACGGTTTAATATAAAAATAGTTAGTTTTAACTTATAACGTAATTTATACAGACAATTTATTTATATTTTCCTGATAAATATAAAGAACGATATAAAGAATATATATCTGTCTTATTTGTTTCGTATTTGTATAATCTGAATAAATAAATAAATATATATATATGTTCATATAATCCCCTTTCCTCTTTGCCACATTTTAATTTTTGTAATACGCTTCAGGAAACTACTCGCTGAACTGAATAAATTTCTCTCTCTTTCTCTCTACCTCTCTAATTCTCCGACCCTCGCACTTTCCTATATACATATAGTAGTACGCGTGTACCACCCCCGCGCGAAGTGCAGCCCCCGACTCGACTGCATATCTCCACGCCAGGAATTGGAGTGGATGGCGAACGTGGGTACAATAGTTCGCATTGTATTGGATCTAGCCGAGTGATAGGCCCCTCTCCCGGTTTCCTCCTGTTCACCCTCCCCCGCCTCCTCGCGCTTCACCTTCCTCAACCCCTTCGTACTCAACCCTCCTATCGTATCTCATTTTCTGAAGGCCCGGCGCGAGCGTGTATTGTGCCGCTCGCTATGCCCAAATCTCGCTATCTATCGCTATTGCGGCCAACTGCGTCGCCTCTGCCGTTTTGTGCCCTTTCAGCTGCGCTTTGGTTTAAGTGCATCGCGGATTCGACCGATACGCGAATGCATTCCTCGAGGGTGGACGATTCCTATCACGCTCCGTCGGTCGTCGGTACTTCGTAACAAATACCTTCGACAATCGATAATGATATTATCGTAAAATTTTTCTTTGTTATAAATTCATTAAAAAAATATACATGTATAATAATTCTAATACTTGACACCGCCATGTCTTCTAAATAAATTTTTTTACAAAATAAATTAACAGAAAAATAGAATACTGTAATGGACGTCTTAATAAATTATTTACTTGAAAATGATTTATTAAGACACTCATTACAATATTCTATTTTTCCGTTAATTTATTTTGTATCTATTTTTATTCTTATCTAGTTTTACTTACTAAATTATTTACTTAAAAAAATTTTGTTTTCTATTGCTTTTTATGGATTTATGAAAGAGGAGTGTATCCGTTATTTTAAAAACTTTATTATTAAAAGCCAAGCTTTTCATCTAGTTATCGCTCAGATAATAATTTTCAGTAGTATCTTGTATAATGAGACGCGCCTAAAAGTACGAGACAATCAAATACCGATGAAGAAGCTCCTGAAGGGAATAATCGTTTGGACTGATTAACGTCGCGAACAACATGTCAAGCGTGTGCGGCACGAATTCAGGCCATTGTGAATATCTGAATATCCGCGAGGCACGCGAATTCCCATATCTGATTGCGCGCAGATAGACTCGGATCTCATTTCCTGAGTACATCCAAGTATTTCATATATGTATGTGCACGCGCGCACTCGAGACGAATGTTCCATCCGTGCGCTACGCATTGTGATGTGATATTTTGTTATATTACGACTACTGCCTCGTAACAATCTCGTTTTCAATATAGACAATTTTACCGCAAGATAAAACGGTTGACTTTATAATAAATTATCAAGTTTAAATAAGATGTGAATTTGCTTTTTTTTTTTAAAGCTCATTTTGAAGGGCGTTTGCAGTAGAGTTGCAATCACCCTTCAAAATGAACTTTTAAAACAGGCGACATGTACTGTACGCAAGTCCGCATTGCAGTTTCAGAGGTATCCCCTTCATCAAGCGAAAATAACCGTGGCTTTTATTTTATAAAATCTGCGAATGCGCACAGTGAAAATTCGCCGCTTAAACGAAGCGGTAATCCGGCTAAGAGTAAGCCGCGAGTAACGCTTTTGAAAATTCGTTCCATCAACGGTAATTTATCGCTGGCCTCGACCCCTAGCGAACCCTCCTCATCTAAATACGCAGATTTCAGTAGTCGAACCCACGTGTATGTCACGGTGATCCCAATAACGGCGTACGCGTAGATAATTTGCTGCATTAGTATCGTACACCGTGTACAGACTGGTTTCATATAATTAGGCACGATTGGGTGCGGCAAATACGCGATTATGGATTATTCGTTCGATGTTCAACGGTACGCAAATACGAATATCCCAAATTATGAAACGGGCTCAACGCTTTCTACCATATATATCTTTCATTGCAGAGATAGTTATACGTAAAGAAATTGTAATTTACTTATTTAAGCTATACATATCGATGAGGATAATGATTTTAATTGTTTTTTCCTCAATTATAATTAATCTTAAATATTTTAACATACAAATAAGAGAAAGAATCCCCAGAATTCGGTCAAAAGCGGATTACTGTGCTTAATAATATACATATATAAATTTTTAAATTAAATTTTGAAACATTTTTTTCAGTCCTATAAACTGTGCACTGCGCTGATTTGATTTATCGGACTTGAAACGTAATCACAAACTGAAATAAAATAATAATTAAAATAAAAACAGCTCTAATAATAATCGAATATAAGTAAATTATATAAATAAGCCTCTGGTGCATTTGCTAATATGCGCTAATAATATATTTATCAGACAATAAGGTATAATTCGCAAACAATTGGAATATACTTACGGAGTTAACTGCAAACTGTGGATTTCAACTCTGGGTTTGATCCTTTTCAATGCGAAAGTCAAATACAAACTCATATCTTGTAAATATATTATTAATACCCTAACAACCGCAGAGGCTCACATAAGTAATATTTATATTTAAAGTATATAATAATTTAAATTAATAATTAATTTAATAATGATGCTCTAATATAAATATCATTTAAAATATAAACTGTAAATAAATTATTGCGAAAAATTAAAATTAAATATTTTATTATTATTTGCACCAATAATTTTTCAGCGGTAACTCACAATAATAAAATTCTAGAAGAATATTTATTTAAGCTTAGTTTTTATAAATCTGTCCAGTCTGATTAAATCCTAAGTGGAGGCTGTTGCCGACTCAACGACACAAGGACAAACGAAATTTCGCAAAGAATGAGTGAGTGAGTGAGTGAGTGAGTGAGTGAGTGAGAGAGAGAGAGAGAGAGAGAGAGAGAGAGAGAGAGCCTGGGAGAGAGAATTGGGAAAAGATGAGGAATACATTGAAAAATGGGATTACTGCGAAACCGTGTCCTCGTCAGGAAGAGGATAGGGAATTAAACGGCCTTCGAACGCGGCTCAAATAATTGATGCACGTCAATTAGATTTGTCAGGCCAATCGTCGTAATTAAATCAACAGGAACGCGAGGCATGAACACGTACACATAACTGTCGACGGATGCATACGCGTATGCGTGCACATTCTATGCGCGTGTGCACATACGTATCTTCACGTACGACTATCTGGGGACCGTATACGAGAGAGTGTCCACGGCGTAAAATTTAAATTTCTCCGATACCGGACATCGATAATCCCGTTGATTCGTCGAAACCGCCGGCAATTCGTGCCGCACTTTTCCGATAATGGTTAACTATTCCGTTAAGTGACGCAGCCATTATCAATTATGATCAATTATCATTCGCAGAATTTATTTAGAATAGACGAACAAAAGTCGAATAATTTTTCTTTTTCAAAATCAACCTGTTTGTGCTAAAAAAAATTCTGTGAGGAAGAACTAGAACTTCAGTTATGTAATGCATGACATGCATTTGAATATCAGCTGAATTCATCTAAAAAAAGTCTAACTGAGGCTCCTATTCTGTAACTTTTAACGACAGATTGGTATCTTTGTATTGTCATAATTTGTTTATATGTATAAAACCTGCGCGTATGTATAACCGATACTGCCATTAATTACTTATTTCTTGTCTCTTCCAAAATTCTAGAATTGGGAAAAGATGAGGAATTGAACCTCAATTAAGAGTTAATTATAAATTGTGGAACTGATAGGCCTAAGACTCGATTTTTCATTATTTGGATAACTTGTAGTTAGTCATGATGTTTCATGACATCATGACAAATAAAGCCTATTGAATAAAACATCAAGTTAAGGCTAACTATAAGTTTAATCACAAGTTAAATTTAATCACAAATTAACCAGAAAAAAACTAGGCTTAAGAGTAGTTATCAAATAAAAGCCTTATCAGTTTTTACATCTACCGTATTATATCAAATTACTTGTTATAAAGTGAAGTTGTCAATGAATAGAAAATGATGGAAGACTGTTACTGCTGGCAATTTAACACGAAATATTTCAAAGTAAGGCAGTTATTGTAATTTTTATTATTTATTCAAAAAGATAATTCTGTCATAGATATTTCCTGAATTATTGTGTAGGTTTCATATAGATGTAATATTATCTATTACATTTATAAGAGATTCATTTATAAGAGATTCATTGGAAAACACATGAGGATCGATAAAAAGCTCTATATCGTCACAAAGGAAGAAAGTAGTTAGATATTGATGAAATATGAGAACATGCGCGTATATGTGCTTGTATATGTGTTTTTCGTCGACATATGTAACGCAACAGGTTTCTTCGCTTATTTTCGTAGCATCGCAGGTTGGCGCAAGAGTGATATTATGTAATATAATTCGAAACACCCTCTTGCTGTACCTTTCTGTTATATTTTGAGGGTAGAACTGGTCCACCAAGCGCTCGTATTTAATCGGCCACGGTTGTTCAACGGTTTACTTATGAATTAATCAACGTGACAACAAGCTGCAATAAATTTACGTTTCTGCAACGTTTCTTCCGCGCTTAATTATTCTTCTTCGCAGTGAGACGTTCGTTAACACAAAAGTATTCTTAATACACGCTATGGCACATTTTTTTGAACAATTGTTAATTTTTTCTTGTTGTTAAAAGTATTATAAATTATGATATTTTGTTGATTTAATTTTTTTGATTTTTATTTAAGGAGATTTATACTTGTAACAAGTTCATTTTGCGATTTTTATTATTACAATTTAGAGATCATTGTTCGAAGTTCGCGACGTAGGATCTTGCCGGAAGGATTCTTCGGTATGGCATCGACAAATTGCACCCCGCCATGCAGCCATTTTTGCTCCGACAGTTTCTCTGCAAGATAAATTGAATTGCTCGGTTAATGTATATACAGGTCGTCGCTCGGCTCGCGTTTACTATTAAAATGCAATGTCAAGACGGGGCGGAATATTTCCACGCTCTTACTATGCCGTACATTTAAATTACAGAGACAGTAGAGATAACTAACAATTTTAATCACAGCATTTAATATTATTACAATACAACGTCGCTAATAACTAATAATGCCGTTAATAATGTAACGCAATGTTAAATCCTGCCACTGTATCATGCGTTATTCATTCTTGGCACTGTGTTTTATTTACACATTTAAATGCGATAACGCATTCGTACTAAATAAGTTTTACATTGTTGAAAACAATTCATTAAATTTATAATTTTTTATTAACAATCTATATACCTCTAATATTTTTTGAATCCGCTTTGATATGTTTTTTTAACTAATTTTTTTTAAACTTGTTCAAAGTGTAGAGAAAATCTAAAATTAAAATGTCACTGTGATGAAGAGTCAAACGAAGTACCTATTACTTATAAATGGAATAAAATAGTACGCACTTGCCCAAAACTTTCATAGTGAGAGAAATGAATAATGTCCTAAATGGATGATATTTTAATGATCCTGCGAGAGATGCCAAAAAGGATCAGGACTGAGTGATAACTCACGTTTGATAAACTCCTGCACATCTTGGGCGGTGATCGTGGCATCGGGTTGCTTCACTATGAAGGCCACTGGAACCTCTCCGTTACGTTCATCGAGTCTGGAGGTGACCGCGGCATCTTTTATCGCTTGATGCGACAGTAGGACGGTTTCTATCTCTGACGGCGCGACTTGGTAGCCTTTGTACTTGATCAGCTCCTTGACACGATCGATCACATGCAACCTATTCTTGTTGTCGAAGTAGCCGATGTCACCGGTGTGAAGCCATCCATCCTGGTCGATGGTCTGTTTGGTCGCCTCAGGGTTGTTCCAGTAACCTAGCATCAATTGTTCCCCCATGTAGCAGATCTCGCCCACCTGACCGGCCTCCAACGTTTCTTGTGTTTCAAGATCGACTACTTTGCCGAGAAAACCAGGTACAAGTAATCCGGTTCCTAGATTCTCAAACGAATCGTCATTATCGCCGTCGTTGCGCCCGCTCACACCGCTCACTATCGATAATTCCGTCATGCCATAGCCGTTGCGAATGTATTTTATGCCGAGGCGAGTTTTTACGGCGGTTACAACCTGCGAAGAAAAAGAAAAGATAAGTTACTTTAAATTTCACCATTGTTTTCGAATTTGAGCAAGCGTCGATTAATTCTTTTCAATTTTTTAATTTAAAATTAATTAATGCAAAAAAATTAACATTTACTTAACTTGTAAAATAATCTGAGGATATTAATTTTACACATTAATATTATTATGTAATATTGTCTTTGGAATCCGTCATAGGATGTCATTTTTAGGATGACAAAAAGTTTATGTAACAAAGGTTTTTGTGTTTAAATTAAATCATTACCCGGGCAAGCTGATGCTGTCATTTTGATGTAAAAATAATAACAGATAATATCACGTTGCTACCTCGATAATTAACATACATATATTTAAAAAAACAAATTCTGAAATGTAGCTATATATACTTATTTATATATCAAAAAGATTCTGCATCAAAACATTTTCATTAGCTGATGAACTAAAAACCGTTCTACTGGTTGCCTGGGAGAATTTATCCGTGGTAGGATGCGCGGCTATATTAATACATTCCCGAAGCGCCTTAAAGCTTCTATCAAAACTAAAGGTGGCTATGTTGAATATTAATTATATTTTTGACATTTAATAAAATATAAATAATAGTTTAAAATTTTTTTTTAAATATACATTATTAATGATTTAATAAAACCTTATAACCAAACTTTTTGTTTATTTTGTGTTTAATTATTTTTATAATTATTATTACAGAAACAGAATTTAGTAGGATAAATTTCATTCAATATAAAAATTAATATACAAATATTTTATGATATTCTTCTTATTTTCAATGTATTTCTGTATTGCCTCAATTATGAGAGAGATAAAGGCAACTATAAGAAAACAGCATTCAGGAGACGTTTAAGTTCAGAGACATGTTTGGTCTTCGAAACTTTGAGACCCCTGCCCTCTTCCTCCCTTTATCTCGTCTACCGATAAGAGATCAGTTTCACATTTTCCGAAAGACGCGATTGCGAACTCGCGATGCAGCCTTTTATTTTCTTCTCCTTCTATTTCTCCTTAGCTACTTTGTAAACTGGTTAAACAAAAACGAACGCGATAAAGTTACTCCCCGAGCCATGTCTAGTGAAAATTCGACTCTCTGAGACTTCCTCTCGCCGCAGCCGCGACATCAAGGACTCACTTCGGCACTTAGTCCCACCGATGGCTGCTTTTCTTGCCTTGATAACTTGACCGAGGAGGGGTTAGAGGATCGGTAGATAGAGGAACGACAAACTTTACGAGGACAGAAGAAAACTTACGTCCTTCCCGAGCGGCGCCGCTCCGCAGACGAGTTCTCTCACGCTGCGAAAATCATATCTATCCACCAGCGGATGTTTCGCCAGGAACGTCAAAATCGGCGGCACGACCGGTAGATGGGTGACCTTATATTTCTGTACTAGAGTCAGAAAGAGTTTCGGCTCGAAGGCGGACATTATGATCATGGTGCACCTCGAGATAAGACCGATCATCATCGTGCCTATCCCGTAACCATGATAAAACGGCAACAGCATCAACATTTTATCGCCACTTCTTGCGTCCAAGTATTCGGGCTTGCTGCGTTTTAAAATTATATTTGAGTTATAGAATCAAATCCTTAACTACGTTTTCGAGTGAGAAAATAGCACTTTGTTTTTTCGCATAATTGTATATACAGTTTGCAATAAATTATAAAGTTAAAAATTAGCATTAACATTTTAGTTAGAGATATTCTGAAAATTTTACTTTTAAATAATTAATATGATATAATTATATTTATGTTATATTTAGATCTCTCTTTAAATTCATATTAATTTCACTGTTGTTAAAAAATGTTGATCAATGATCAATGTCAACAAAAGAATATATATAAAACTTGCCGCATTTTTACTAAAAACGCAATTAGATTTTTATGAGACAGCGTTACTCCTTTAGGCAATCCTGTGGTTCCACTTGAAGAAAGAATAGCCCATGGATGACGGCTGGGGTCATCGATATCTGCAGGTTTGTATTCCATGTAGTTTATATCTGGTTCGTTATTTAAGATATCCGTCAACGTACGGACGTTTGCCGTGAGTGATTGATCATCCAGTTGTATTAATTCTATTTTCCAGGATAACTGTGGTAGGAGTTTAGCGAGGACACTTTCGGTGCGCTCAGACACGAAGACAATACGTGGTTTCGCAATGCTTAACATGTGCTGGAATTCATCTAAACGATAAAATTAATTAGCATTTAAATTTGGCAGCTATTGTATCAATAATTACTCATATAGTTAAATTAAATTAAATTACAAACAAGTTATATTTGTTGATATAAGATATAGATCATATCAGATGACATCATTAGATATATATGTCATGACTACTTTTATAAAGAAATAATATGTATGACACACACACACACACACACACACACACAATATGTGCATAAATATACA